CAGTCACTCACGATCGTCTATAAACCTGTAGGAGTTTCTTTCCACATCGGCTAACAAACTCGCCATGGTCGTGCCTTCGCCGCTCCATTATCTAGAAAGGTGATTAAATCCTCCGCTCTGAGGGGACATACTTCTAAAGTTTGATTTTTTCTTTACTCAGCTATCCAGCGACAAGTTGGAACTCTCTATCGCTTTCTACTTTGTTGGATCAACGATCATCATCATCATCCTTTGATGCCTTTGGCAAAAAAGTGCTGAAAAAGATTATCTTCAGAGACAACTACTTCGGTAGCACTCGTATCGAACGTATTCAATGAAAATTATATTTAGGGTATTGCCAGCGTTCTATTAACGTCCTTGGGAACGTTCTATTGACTGCTTACATGACTAAAATTAAAAGCGAAGAAAAATGTTCAAATTTACCGCTTTCCTTGAACTACGTGAATTCATTAAGGACGTGAATTTCATATTTTCAAGAAATGTCTCAATACAAATTTATGTTTTAGGATTCATCGAATATAAAATTAAAATTTCGGATACATTATTTTCATCTCTAAAAATGTCAGACACAAAATTCAGTCCAAGTAGAGCCCTGCTCCAGTGACTACAGTTAAAAGTCTTAATGTAGCCCATTAGCCTGGTCGAAGGTAATATCTTCCATTCTCCGGGAGTGTCTAGTGGAAAAGCGGGGGGCAATTTAGTCAAACTTTGGAAATCATCATCATATCTACAGTTATCTTATTATTATTGTTATTCAGGAATCAAACACCCTCTCCACCGAATTGCCTTTTCATGAGAGAGATGTTGATGAGCATTTCCATATTTTATGTTTCTTTCTCTTTCCTATGAAGTCACCTTAGAAATGAAACCTTCCTTCCTTTATCTTTCGAACCAGAGTTCTCTGGAGACTCCTTGGACCTCTTACGACCGATTTGGTGAAGATTCCAAGTATCATCCTCTTTGGCTTGTGTGGAGAGAGATCGGCTACCTCGTGGAAAGCATAAGGGGGAATAATTTCAGATATTTCAGAATTTCAGGAATTTCAGACACGCTATAGCGACTACTTTGGCGTCATTAGCTTCGGTTGTGCGAATCTTTGTTTCAAGCCATTGGCAGGTAGATACGACTGATGTCCTTCAGGAAAACATCTTAAACGTTCGACTGTCCATCAAATGCAGCATGTTTCGTGATCAAAAGGCACCATATCTGAGCGCTAAAACGGTGCTCATTCTTGTATATTGAACGTCGAAGGACCTCTTTGAAAACATGTTGAACGTTCTCGAAAGCTTTTCTCAGCTACTTGGGCAATGGCATATGTATAAAGCCTGCAGGTCTCATTTGACCCGTGGTTACCCTCGGCACTCGATCATTTGAATGGAGCGAAGGAGGCGAATGTGAATGTAGGCGAAGCGCTTAATATCCCTGTAATCCCGGCAGCAGGCAGGATGCACTGCAATGGGCGATGCGATCGTTCTCTTGCGAGAACAAGGGCAACTCTTGTCTCGTTTTTCCGAAAGATGGCGAGACGATAGCGAATCTCTTATTTTCGATTAAATCTGCTTTTCCACCCTTTCGTGTGGCCGATTTGCATATTTCATTTCCAAGAGACACATCCTCAGATGATAATGAAGAGTTCTATCGAAGGCCCAAGTTCATATCTCTCAGCATTTGGCCTGTAGAGCTGTCATACAAGCACAAAAATGGAAACACAATTGTCACTCGGAATAGTTAGCAGTCAGGTTCGCGCACTCGATAATGTTTAACCTCCTGTCCTCCGATTTCAATAAAAGATGATGGACAAATGCATCTGGTGACAAAAGCAGTCGATCTTTAAAGCAGCAGCAAATATTAAGCAAGAAATTAATTCTTGATAGATACTCTCTCGATGAAGTACGTATAAGGGGACGGTAGGGGAAAATCATTGAAAATGGTTTTCACTTCAATCTTCCTTCATGTTATCCCTTTCAATGAAAATATAAATTGCGTATTTTCCTCGAAGGTTCCCACAACAAATTCTTCTACCTTCAGTGCCTTTTGTTGAAGAGCTTACTGTTGTTTTCACCGAGAACGTATTATGAAGTGAAACTTCATGTCATGAAGCAAGTTATTTCACAATTTTTTAGCGAATACATGAAACCATCACGTGAAAAGAAAGTGGAATTGCTCAGATTCTGAAAAGTTGCTGCTTTGGGCTGAGAACGGAAGTTGCCTCTGAGGTTTCCATGATGAAAACTGAAACAAGTCATTTACTTTGAATTATGATTCCGCCAGATCCATTTTATCCCAATATTTCGCTAAGAAATCCACTTCCTCCCGTTACATTTTGTCCCAATACGCCACTTAGATGTTTTCCAAAAGTTTAGTCTAGCCCCGGCTACTTGCACAGAGCCTGGACCGCAAAGTGAAGTTCTTTCAAATGGTCCAGCACCTGGGAATGATCATTTTCCATTGCTGTGGCGATTGCTGCAACATTCTGCTATCTCGACAGTTTCCGGGTGAAATAAAAAAATATTCGCGCGCGCCCTTTGAAAGTTCATGGCATTTCTGAAACAGCAGCTGAAATAAATATTTTTCACGCGCATCTCTTTTCATCCTTTGAGCATCCAAGAACGTTTGCCCATTTAATCTCTAATCGTTGCAGTTCACGAATGATTTCACGTTAGCAGATTGAAAATTGATTTTTGCACTCATACTTTGTGGAACAGTCCTAGGTAACGGAATAGGCCTTCAAATGAAGTACTTAGAGCAAAGCTAAAGTATTAGTGCAAAAAGTATACATAGTATGAGTGTAGAAAAAAATCCTGAATTTTAAATGTCTCCTCAAGGCAAATATGGGAAGAAGTATTCAAAGATTTACGAGTATGCTCAACACTGACGAAAAGGGCCACAAGTAGTGATCTGAAGTTAAGCACGCAAGAAGTCATCGGTGCAATAATTTCGATTAAAAACATATTTTAGTTACGTCCCCTCTTGGCGCATATTTCGACAGAGACATATATTAAATACATGTTTGCCGCATCGACAATAGAAAAATGAATTAATCACTATTCTGGATAATGCAAAGTCGAAGGCGCAACCCTAAAGAGTTTGTTAAGAGTAAGTAAACAAACTCAAGTAAATGAGTATTATCCAAGATGGTTTGTAGTTGCATTTTGCAGATCAGGGAAATGTTTATTTTTCATGGTTAGTATGCATTTCTGTTTCGATTTCACGCTGGGCTTGTGAAGTGAGGGGGGTCGAGAGACTCATTTTTCAAAATGTATCCACTCATGAAGTTTTCTTAGGCTACATGTGGACGAAAGCTGCTTGTAGACTATTGCTGCAGCTCCAAAAATTCGAAAATTTTCCGCAATGAAAAACAAGATTATTATTGCTTCGATCTCACCCAAGCAATAGACATCCCGCCCTCCCTTTCTCTCCGCCCTCCTTATTGATTTTTAACCAATTGGATATTCTTACGATGGAAAATCCAACGTTGGATTTCCACCTGGTGGGACCTCCACCTGGTTCTAAATCCACCTCGGGATCTCCAGAGGGGTTAAGCACATATTGATTCCATTCCTCCGAAGTTCTGAATGGATGACACCCATGATATGTAATGGGATACCTGATCCACACCACCCAAAAAGTACCTTGACCGAGACTAACTGAGAAATTTCATTTCCAATTTGCCGTAATTATGGATTGCCTAGAGTCATGAAGCTGAAATGCGATTCCTCTCGAACGACATCACGGTCGACCATGGAAAAGCCAAGTTTACTGTACCCATCACTATAAGTTCGCAATACCCCCGGGAAGGAAAGTGTTCCGGTACCCATATTGACTTTCGTTTTATAAATCTGCGCTCTGTATGGATGCGGGAATCGTTGCATTTTCCTTCGAGAACTTAAACGTCGCGAGTTGCCGTATCCATTGGGATTAAACCAGCTTGACGAATTGCAAGAATTACTGCGAGAATTGCTTTTGCAGATAGAGAAGGGATCGAAAAGGACGGATCGAGTCCCACACCGCCGAAAGTTTCGTGACCAATGGGAGAAAATAATTTCAATATAGGAGCACTAAGCGACGCATTGACTTTTTAACTCGTGATCCTCAAGCTGAAAATCGTGTTCCATCCCTATTCACATTTTCCAAAGCAACGTTATTTTTTAGGTGCAAGGGCCGAGGGGGCGAGAATCACAAAATCCATAAACGGTTTGACGGTATCATTAAAGATGAACTTCGAAAGCGAATGCTTTAAATGCTTTAGAAATTTCCTTTGATCACATTGCGACGAAAGCGCGTCCATAACGAGCTTGTTTGGCATTCAGGAATCGGGGAAAATCGACTCGTGGTGGCGCTCCTTCCGGCACCTTTTCTAGAGGACTGTTTGCAATTCTCCTCTAGCGAGCCGGGAGAAAATGGCTCTTCATGAATTCCATTTTTTTCTCCCATATTTATTGTTTAAGCAAGGAAATAACGAAAAATGAGACATATTCTCCTAGATCGGTTTATTAACTTTGGCAAGTGCAAGGACCACATCATGAACGTCTCCGTAGTGTAATACGATTCAGCCACAATGCACTTATCACGGACAAATCTTCATATATACAGACTTTAACGCCCCTTTTTGAATGAAATGACGCATTGGTGAAAACGAACCCGAGGAAATGTGAAGCCAGGACGGTATAACTTCGGATACAGCTTTTGAATTTACTTTCTCTCAATTCCCAGTGTGGAGATAGAGTCGTGACACCGAAAGAAGCACTTGAAAGAAGACCCCGCAAGAAATGAACAAAAAATTTGGAAAATAAAGATTCAGTGAACATGACAATACGGCAAAGAGCAGAAAAATCCCAGCACTCCCCAAAATCCCCAAAATTTCCAGCAGTTCAGACTTAGCTAGTCGTGGTAGTTTTGCCGTATATAGGAATGCCTAATTCTAATGAGGAAATGTGAATGCAGTTCAGAGCCAAAAACACCACAATTTCTTCCCTCTCGACTTCACCGACGATAATCGTTCAGTGGAGGTAGTGAAAAGTGCAGAAAGGGATATCACAGTCTTCAAACTCTTCATGAGCAACCAAGCAAAAGGGCGCCCCTGCACTAAACGGATTGCGACAGAAGTTGTGATTGATGTTCCTCACGTCCTCTGGGAATCTTGGCCACAAATCAATATAGAAACTGGAGAAGCTCCAAGACAGGCATTGTTTCCGGGACAACGTCACGTTGCGAGTTCCTGCGTATTCCTCTCCCTCCTTCGTCCATCTGCATTCTGTCTTGTCTAGATATGAAACAATATTGTTATGAATGAAAGCAAGAAACCCATAGTCTTCCTTGTCCCATTGGGGGATATTTTAAATCATTCTTTAGTGATGCATATGCCCCAGAGGAAAGGGCGGCGAGATGCAACTTTGAGAGAAACGTAGGAAGATATTGTTTGACTCAATGTGTTTGATCGTTCCTTGAGATTCGAATCATCCTGGGTGAGGAAAAATTTGGCTCATGTCTACTGAGATGTTAGACACTTCAGTACCTCAATTAAGATGGATAATTAATTGGATGTAAGAAGAAGGTTCAAGTGAAAAGGTTACTCCTGCAGCCAGCACAAGTGAAAAACTGATCCATCAGATGCCTTTCACTATACAGGTATTGGGAGTCTAGAACTCCAGAACAGGGAATTGGCAGGCCGGATGAGCAAATTAATCAATTGTGCAGCAATGTCAATATGATGGCGTATGGGCATAAGAGTTGTACATTTGACGACCAGCTTTTTGTTATACGATTTTTTATTTTCAGGGGAAGAAGGTCAATGTGGAATTGATTACTGTGTATAGTTCTAACTGTCCCTAGCGAGGGAGTAGGTCCATAAATTCAGTGAGTGGTTTCGGAATGGTGAAGCTTATGTTGGCGACGATCCACAACATGGCCGGAAAAACTTGCAGAGTACACAAACTGGATTCGTCATCGTAGGGAATTGATCAAAGAAGATTGCAGTGTTACTTTCACTAGCTAATCTCTACATTGAATATTAACATCAGCTCAGTCAGGAACATCATTCATAAGAGATGATGGTTCTGCAATTCAGTCAACGAGATCAAAGCAGCTGTCCTACAAAGTGCTCAAAATTAACTTAAAACTTTATGTACAGCGGTAAATCAGAACTTCAATAGCATTGAAAAAGGTGTATATTACGTTCGCCTGCAGATGCATTCATTTCATGTGTGTGCAACATTGTAAAATATTCATCTGGATAGTCTCGTATATCTACGTTTTCTGATAGGGGTGATGATAGTTTTTTTTATTCATTGTTTCTCAAGCAACTTTTAAACGAAGATTACGGGGAAGGATCCAAATATGTGTCACCCAGGGGAAAACCAGAGGATATTGTAATTCCTTTACAGCGCTGGAGAGGGTAGGGTGAGAATACAAATGCAATCGTCTATGATATTTTTGATGGAAGAATGGCCAAGAAATTCTGCATCTACGACGAGGAAATGCTTTAACTATTTAACAATGTAATGTTAGCATGATTCCCTGAGTGTGATGATCGATTGACGATACGTTCAGACCTCAGAATTTCGGTTTGGAGGCCAGAGAACGTAGCGTCGACATGGCAAATCTATAAATCGAGATTTGTGCTAATGTGATGTTTCTGTCAAAGCGAAAAAGGTATTGGGAAATGAGGGAAAAAAATGTTTATTAAAAAATAAGGCTGGAAAAGAAACAGATCCATGAGGCTCTGACGAACTTTTATGGTGACAGGACTTCATGGCGTTTTATAATTCATGACTGGACTCGCTGCTCCAAGAAAGTGAGGGAGAGAGAGCATTGAAGACTACCCACGCGGTGGTCGGCCAGCTTCCTCGGTCACTGATGAGAATATTAAAGCAGTTTAAACCATGGTGGAAGAATACCGACGAGTCAAGGTGGAGGTGTTAGGAGAGACGCTAAGAATATCTGCTGAATCTGTGCATTCCATACTGAAAGAGACGCTGGGACTGAGTGAGCTTTGTGTACGTTGGGTACCATAAGCATTGCGCCCAGTTCAGAACAATCCAAATTCAGATTGCAGTATGAGGTTTTTAAACAAGTTCGACACTGATACTGATGGCTTGATAGCTTGAGTTGTAACTGGGATGAAACTTGGATCTACCTCTATGATCCTAATGCTAAGTTCTTGTCGAAGCAGTAGCCTCCAACAGTCGCAAGTGGACCATTTGAGAAGTCGGCTACGAAGCTAATGGCGACCATTTTCTGGGATGCGGAAGCGGTGATCATGGTGGACTTCCTCCTTCAAGGTAAAACGGTCACAGGTGTCTACTAAGAGCAGGTGCTTCAGTAGCTTCCTACAGTTCTGCAGGAGAAGACGCAGGGAAAGTTTCATCAGCCTGTCCTGTTTCACCATGAACATGTTTCTGCGCACTAGAGGACACTTTCGATGGCTGCACTTCGCAAATTTCGCAGATAATTGCTATTTCATCCAACTTCTAGTACAAACCTAGCCCCTTCGGACTTTTTCCTTTTTCCAAAACTGTAGCAGAGTACCGAGGGGAAACGTTGGGACTCAATGACCGCTCTCAAGTCAACCATCCTCGACTGGTTTGAGTCCCAAGACAAAACTTATACAGAGAAGGCATAGAGAGCTGGAGAGAAAGAATGAATAAATGAAAAGGAGACAACGTTGAGAAGTCAAATGCTACCTAGGTTGTCAGTGTGTAATACGAGGGTGGTTCAATACTTACCTGCACTTTCTATTCTGAAAATCAATAGTATTGAAAAGAGTCTGAAAGTATATTGTGACAGATAGCCCTAATCTTCAGCGTATTATAGACCAAGAGCGGGAACCTCGCGCATGCACAATTTGGGCGTAATAACATGGCGTCCATAGCGACCAATGAAAATGATCGAAGGACTTGTCATTTCACAAGGGAATCGTCGGAAAACATACCATTCCAACTTCCAGTTTCAGAAAGACTTTATGCGAATGCATGGGAGAAGAGGAGGGTGCCGGATCAGGCTTTAAAGAAGGATGGCCAATATGATGTGACTTTGGCCCATAAACCGAATTCAATTAATCATGCATCATTTGATAGGCTGCCCCTCGAAGAGTATTAAAATACCAATTTTACTCCAATCTAAAGGGTTTGTAAAGGTTAAGTTAGGTTAAGTTTGGTAGGGTAGGTCACGATTAAGTTAAATTTGCATGAGCTTTTCATCAGAACGCATACGTTCAACTGTATTGAGGGAAGGGAAATGCAGACTAGCAATAATAAATCACAATTAAAATACATTTGAATTGTGTTTTGTAAAATATTACAATGTACCTTAGAATCATTATCTTTTATATGATAAATCATACATTCAAACTGTTTTGCTAGATTTTCCAATTCCCAGATGAAGGTCACCGATTACCGATAATTATGTTCTTTCTAAGCTGTTAGAATTTGGAAGGATTTTATCGGAAATCCTATATGAAAACAGTAAAATAATTTAACTCAACCTAACCTAACCCAAAATTTTGAAGCCTTCACATTTGAATTAAACAATTATACGTTTCATGTTTGCAGATAAAATCGATGGAAGTATCTGAAAGTATTCTAAAAATTGTTCCATTGCCCTCATCGCCAGAGAAAAAAATCAATTATTTTGCTTTTCTAATGCACTCAATCGTCACTAGCTCATGGTGATTGAAGGTTTAGCACGGATATGATGGCGAGCAAAAAGGAATTCGCCAAATTTTGACTCCTAATCCAATTGCGAATAAATACACATGCTATTAATTGGTGTCACTTTTGGAACGGAGATATGGAGTTTTAATCAAAATGTGACTGGTGAGAAATACATTAGTACGGTTGGGTTAGGACAACTTCTTATCCCATTCTGAATGCGACACAAAATAGCAATCTTTCGTGTCTGCAACACATGAAGGAGAAAAATGATTTGTTCGGAATTATTGAACCAACTAGGAAATGGAAGAGCATGAAGATGCATTGGCAATGTGAAATTCATTTGTTTAAGTCAACTGTGCTATCAGGACGTTATTATTTGCGGATATTGAAATACTGCATTTTAATTTCTAATGTTTTGAAGTATCATGACTGCCCTTCATCCAAAATAGTTAAAAGCATTTGTCATTTTAATAAAAGTCATATCCCGCAACAGAGCACAATCTAGCTTACAATACTCAAAGCCGCCAAAATAAAAAAATGGAATTTTTTTAAATAACACCCCTTGAAATGGCATTAATAAAATTTGATTACGAAACCAATATAACATTGTTTGAGGAAGTACTTCAAAAAACATTAAGATGCAGGAATGGTGTTTATAGAAAGAATCCCACATATGGGATGCGGGCCTCTTATGGCCCTTAATAAAGGATTAGGATGTCAATCCCTAGAGGATTTTGCTTGAGCGAAATGGTTCTTTATGTTACATTTTAAAAGGATTACATGAAGAGAAAGTCTAATAAGAGATATTTTGGAGGAAATGAGGAATCTCTCTACCATTCCCACGACCCTTTACCCCCAACAGAAAGCCTTATCTTCATTGCATATCTCTCGAAACAGCTCTTTCCTTAGGGTTATTTCTGGGAATATCTTTGGTAGTTGGAGTTTCATGCCAATTTGCATTTTCCAAATTGTCAACCATTACTTCTCATGACATACGTCACCAGACATGAAAATAATATCTTCCTCAATCCCATTGCCTTGAAGTTGGTCTACCTAGTCTGATGAAAAAGTTCTGGGATACAATTTCTTGACTTGCACTCCCACAGTTGCGCAATCCTGCAATCCAGAAAGGAACTTCATTCAAGTTCAGAGTATCAGATTTACTACTTGCTGCGTTCAATCGTCTGCTCAATGGTGGTCGCAGAAAAAGGAAACTTGGCAGAATTGGAATCAAAGTTGTAGATTCACACCATGACTGCGGCACAGACTATCCTGTCGTGGCTTTGCAGCAGCTGCTGTGGCAACCGCGCATCCGTGTTTCAACCGCCTCCCTACTTGCCGGAGTTGTTTTCCTGTGATGCTTTTAGTTGCCTCATCTAAGGACTGCGCGGAAAGGAATATGACTTAAGACATGCAAAGTATCATTGCGGCTAATGAGGGATGCGAGCTAGCGGAAGTTTAATACAAAGAGGAAGAATTCCAAAGGATTAGTATCAGCGATGTTTCCAGCGGCTGAAGAAACTCTTGAAAGTTGTTTAGATGAAGATGGAGAACTGCAAATTCACCAAGACGGAAAAAAAGCCTGAATGTCGAATTCGAAGATCAAGATGATGCTGATTTTTTTTTTCCATGGAATCGTCCACTCAGAATTCGTGCCATAAGGACAGTCAACCAGATGTTGCACAAGAACGTTTTGAAGCGGTTGCTTGAGGCTGTGAGGAGGAAAAGGGGTGATCTGTAGCAGGAGAACTCGTGGATCCAACATCACAATAACGCGCCGGCTTACACAGCCCTGTCTGTCCGAGAGTTTTTGGCCGCCAAACGGATCACTGAAATGGATTACCCACCGTATTCACCTGATTTAGTCCCCAATGACATTTGGCTGTTTCCCAAACTCAAAATCTTTTTTAAAGGCCACCGATTTCAAAGCATTGAAGACATTCAAACAAATGTGATGCAGGCTCTGAAAGACATCCCGAAAGAAGACTTCCACCGCTGTTTCCAGCAATTGCAGCATCATAGAGAAAAGTGAATACGTTCTGGAGGGGAGTACTTTGAAGGCGATGCATGTGATAATTTGTAAGTTGAAAAATAATTTTTTTTTAAATAAAGTCTGGAAACTTAATATCCACACCTCGTATATCATTTTCGCGCCTCTGGGTTCGGCAGGAGTTAAATTATGCTACACCTGAAGAAAAAATCCATCCGTGCTCCTGAAGCTCCTTCGTAGTTAGATTTTGTGAAGTACATACGTAATTAAAATTAATTTATCTTCTCTCTTTAAACAATTTTGAAGACTGACAGTGTACCTGTATCAAGCTTCACTTTATTTCACATGTGTGGTGACTATTTAATAAAACTATGTTTAAATTACCTTAACCGGGATTAACCTTACTTGGGTAGTTGAGGCAGAGGGAGATGTTGCAAAACTCCCATTCTCCCGAGCTTTTAACGAAACACCATGGTCGCTCCTTCAATGTCGGGTTTCTGCAGAAGTCCTCATGCAAAGCAGGCGTCCCAAATCGGAAATGACCATCAAAACCTATCATCTGATCAAAGCCCAGGGTGTTTCTGAAGAATTCGAAAAACGATGTCATGGAACTCCACTTGAGACAGGACTTCCCTGTCTCTGTCTTCCTAACCGTCCCCACGTATTCCTTCCCCATTTCCGTCTGCAGACATTCTGGGTATCCTACTGCCGGGTCACCTGTCATATTTCACGCACATAAATATTCTATTCACTTGAGAAAAATGATGCGGAAGCATATAGAACTTCAAGTTTACAAATGAAATTGTTTTCCAAGACGTTACAAGAAATTAGGTTCCCATTCTTAAAATCCGGTTTCTTCTGCATCAAACAAAATATTCGCATAGTTGTTGATTTTTTTTTCATTGTGAAGCGATCATGCTAGAAAATCATAATCACCCCACATCATACCATTGACAGCAGAACGTTCATATGCTTGAAAACAGAAGGGGACTTCGCAATATTGCCATCCATTGCCATTGGATGTTTCTGCGTAGCACCATGGACCGTTCGGATTTCGGTTCGGATTGCGACAGTAGTTGTGACTGCTGTCTATAGCTGGGTCAGGGAATTTCTCCAGGCTCGGCATTGGGACTTCTTTGTTGGTTGCCTGACTCAACCAAGATTGGCACTTCATTGGCCTGATCTCAACATTTGCCTCTTCGTTCATAATCCCAACATATTCGTCTCCATACTTCGTCAATTTGCACTCCATGGGTTCTAAAGGTGAACAACAATGTGCTAACGAGTTTCGGATGGTTTCAGAGAGATATTCGTAATTTGACATGTGCGCACATTAAAAACAAGTTCATTTACGCGACTACTTCCTTTCTTTAACGCCTTCCCGTCCAAAAATTCAACTTCCCCGTATTTCTCCCTGATAGCACCGAGAGTAACGAAATTGCGTGTGCTTATTACCCTCTCAACTTAGATTTTCTTCAGCAAATTTGAAGCTTAAGATTCCCGGGATTTGTGTAGAACATTGGTTATTGCTTCATGTCCGATTCAGGACTATTTCTGCCTTCATTTTTTTTTTTTTTTTATGTAAGAGACATTTTTGTGCGGATTCATTAGATCAGCCTAGATAAAAACGGTGGTTAGCAACGACCAAACCCTTTTTTATGCTATTGACATATTCTGCACAAATATTCCCGAATAAACAGGACGGCGCCCAATATGCATTTTCATCCCATAAGCATTCTCTCCTCAGACCTAGTCAGGATGGTTCAAGGAACTCCAGAGAGGCCCTAAGTTAGACATCCACATAGAAGCGATTCCTGGAATTCGAAACAGGCCTCTAATCGGTCTAGTTACAAGTTCTCGCCGAGGTTACTCGAAGACTTAAGGATCGACCTTTATAGGCCCAATTCGGTTGTCGGTAGGTCGATGAGACTTTTTTGAGCGGGAAAGTTCTGAGGAGACTGCGTTGGTTAGCCGCTAGTCTAACGTTAGTGAGTCTCATGGAGAGGGGGAGGGATTGATGAAAAATTATTTTCACACAACTTCCTGATTGAAATGGATGAAGATTTATTTTAATCAAATAATCTGTTGAACCACAAACTAGTATAACAAGATCAATATATTTGGCTGTTCAGAGATTCACATGTCATCTACATTATTAAAAGTCCTAAAAGCTGCATTTTTATAATATATCGTGAGGGCAATAATTAACAAACTTTTTGGATGGTGACAGATCGGAATGTCGCAGTATTCCCAGCGACGAGGCCCGTCCGACACGAAGCACCATGGCCGCTCTGCCAACCAAAGATTCCGACAATAGTTCTGATCCTGTGTTTTGATGAGTTCTTCCATTTNGGAAGAATTCCAAAGGATTAGCATCAGCGATGTTTCCAGCGGCTGAAGAAACTCTTTAAAGTTGTCTAGATGCAGATGGAGACTACAGTCCCAGAGGTTTTCGTCCAGACCTCATTGAGCATGTGACTGAAACTAGATTATATATTTTTTTAGGTTTTAACCGCCAAACGGATCACTGAAATGGATCACCCGCCGTATTCGCCCGATTTAGACCCCAGTGACGTTTGGCTGTTTCCCAAACGAAGAAATTTTTTGAAAGGCCACCGATTTCAAGTCATTGAAGACATTCAAACAAATGTGATGCAGGCTCTGAAAGACATCTCGAAAGAAGACTTCCACCGCTGTTTCCAGCAATTACAGCATCATAGAGATAAGTGTATCAGTTCTGGAGGGGAGTACTTCGAAGGCGATGAATTTGATCATTTGTAAGTTTAAAAATATCTGGAAAAAATAAAGTCTGGAAACTTAATAGCCACACCTCGTATATCATTTTCGCGCCTCTGGTTTCGGCAGAAGTTAAATTATGCTATACCTAAATAAAAAATCCATCCGTGCTCCCGACGCTCCTTCGTAGTTAGATTATGTCAGGTACATACGCAATTAAAATCAATTTATCTTCTCTCTTTAAACAATTTTGAAGACTGACAGTGTACCTGTATCAAGCTTCACTTTATTTCACATGTGTTGTGACCATTTAATAAAACTATATTTAAATTACCATAACCGGGATTGACCTTACTTGGGTAGTTGAGGCAGAGGGAGATGTTGCAAAACTCCCATTCTCCCGAGCTTTTGACGAAACACCATGGTCGCTCCTTCAATGTCGGGTTTCTGCAGAAGTTCTCATGCAAAGCAGGCGTCCCATATCGGAAATGACCATCAAAACCTATCATCTGATCAAAGCCCAGGGTGTTTCTGAAGAATTCGAAAAACGATGTCATGGAACTCCACTTGAGACAGGACTTCCCTGTCTCTGTCTTCCTAACCGTCCCCACGTATTCCTTCCCCATTTCCGTCTGCAGACATTCTGGGTATCCTACTGCCGGGTCACCTGTCATATTTCACGCACATAAATATTCTAATCCCTTGAGAAAAATGGTGCGGAAGCATATAGAACTTCAAGTTTACAAATGAAATTGTTTTCCAAGACGTTTCAAGGAATTAGGTTCCCATTCTTAAAATCCGGTTTCTTCTGCATCAAACAAAATATTCGCATAGTTGTTGATTTTTTTTCATTGTGAAGCGATCACGCTAGAAAATCTTAGTCACCCCACATCATACCATTGACAGCAGAACGTTCATATGCTTGAAAACAGAAGGGGACTTCGCAATATTGCCATCCATTGCCATTAGATGTTTCTGCGTAGCACCATGGACCGTCCGGATTTCGGTTCGGATTGCGACAGTAGTTGTGACTGCTGTCTATAGCTGAGTCAGGGAATTTTTCCAGGCTCGGCATTGGGACTTGTTTGTTGGTCGCCTGACTCAACCAAGATTGGCACTTCATTGGCCTGATCTCAACATTTGCCACTTCGTTCATAATCCCAACATATTCGTCTCCATCCTTCGTCAATTTGCACTCCACGGGTTCTAAAGGTGAACAACAATGTGCTAACGAGTTTCGGATAGTTTTAGAGAGATATTCGTAATTTGACATGTGCCCACATTAAAACAAGTTCATTTATGGGACTACTTCCTTTCTTTAACGCCTTTCCGTCCAAAAATTCAACCTCCCCGTATTTCCCACTGATAGCACCTAGAGTAACGAAATTGCGTGTGTTTGTTACCCTCTCAACTTAGATTTTCTTCAGCAAATTTGAAGCTTAAGATTCCCATGGTTTGTGTAGAACATTGGTTATTGCTTCATGTCCGATTCAAGGCTATTTCTGACTTCATTTTTGAATATGTTTTATTTTTATGTAAGATACATTTTTGTGCGGATTCATTAGATCAGCCTAGATGAAAGCGGTGGTTAGCAACGACCAAATCCTTTTTTATGCTATTGACATATTCTGCATGAATATTCCCGAATAAACAGGACGGCGCCCAATATGCATTTTCATCCCATAAGCATTCTCTCCTCAGACCTAGTCAGGATGGTTCAAGGAACTCCAGAGAGGCCATAAGTTAGACATCCACATAGAAGCGATTCCTGGAATTCGAAACAGGCCTCTAATCGGTCTAGTTACAAGTTCTCGCCGAGGTGACTCGAAGACTTAAGGATCGACCTTTATAGGCCCAATTCGGTTGTTGGTAGGTCGATGAGACTTTTTTCAGCCGGAAAGTTCTGAGGAGACTGCGTTGGTTAGCCGCTAGTCTAACGTTAGTGAGTCTCATGGAGAGGGGAAGGGATTGATGAAAAATTATTTTCACACAACTTCCTGATTGAAATGGATGAAGATTTATTTTAATCAAATAATCTGTTGAACCACAAACTAGTATAACAAGATCAATATATTTGGCTGTTCAGAGAT